TATTTATAATATATATATTTATTATTATTATTATTTATAAATATTTTATAATATATATAATTGAATATATAATATATATTTTTTTAGTTATTTATATTATTATAAATATATTTATTTTTATATTATATATAATTATTATTTTTATTAAATTATATTATTGTATTTATCGATAGAATTACCGAAAACAATATAAATATATATAAATATATTAAATATATCTGGGATATCCTGGAATAGGGGTATATTTGTGGGAATTTTAAGATCTAGAATTATTATTTGTTTTTTTTATATTTTTTTTATAAAAAAAAATATTTATAATGATTTTGATTTGGAAATAATTATTGCAAGGAAATCTTCATTATTTTGTTGGTAATGTAGTAATGCATATAATATTGTGTATATATTATTATTATTATATTATATTATTATGTATTATATAATATTTTGTATCATTGATTTATTTTTTTTTCCCGTACAGGGTGCATACAAATAGCCATTGTTTCTCCTATGTCTTTTGCCGTATTCGTCGACAGAATTGCCGAAAAATAAATACAAATAAAATCAAATAAATCATTTTATTCATGTGATTTTTAAACGTTCGAATTTCTACGTTGTCTATAATCCTAGCAGTTGTCTTCGACAACACTCTGGTTCCTTCAATATCATTGAAGTACCCAGGCATGATCAGCGAATTGGTTCTTTGCCAATATCCTACCAACTTGATTGAAGTGCCGCAAAAAAATCATGGTGACCATTCACCAAACCAACCAAAAGATTGCTTGTCCTGCTATTCACATCAAAAAGGTATCATGTGCCCTTTTTTCCGAATGCTTTTCATGGTTTTCACATCGTTGTCACCATACTTGATGGCTCATCCCACTTAGTAAGTTGGTTACAACCCATTATAACCCTAGGTGGATTAAGCCTACTTCTACCACTTGCAACTTGCTTATAATTTATAATCCACTTACGATTCCCGGGCTGAGCCACCGAGTACTCTTCGAGTCACCATCTCCAGCCTAGTCCATGGTGGAGCTGCTGTGACTGCGCCGCACCCGAGCTGAAAAGCCTCAGCTTCATGAACGGATTCTCAAATCATTTGGTGTACCCTCTGGTTATCTAACATAGCCATGGAAAATTGCCCATTTATAGATGGTTTACCTATTCAAAATGGTGATTTTCCATGGCTATGTTAAATAACCAAATAGTATCCTTGTTTTTTCTTTAAAGGGAGTTCATGTTAAAGAACATGAAATGATTGGGTGTATTTTTGGTTAAGGGGACTTGGTGTGTGCTCCAGAGGTGGTTCAAATGATCTCAACAAAATCTCACATGATCTCAAATGTACTGAAGATTGAACCAACAACAATGGGAACATCACAAACATTGCTGGAAGATCACAACCAAAGAAAATTGCAAATTCTAGCCGAAGTCCAGCCAAATATCCCCATTGTTGCTATAGTTTTTCTGGGTTTCATCATTCGGAAGCATGGTGGATTTCACCAACAACCCTTCGGATTTCACCGGACCCCTGGTTCCTGATGAAGCCCTGGGTTGTCAGCTTTCGTTTTGAACAAATGCGTGCTGGAGATGGACAGATGGACATACCAATGTGGGTAACATCATGTAACATCATACGTTTCTTTCCCGAATTGAGAAGCCATTTTGGGATAATTACCTCAGCTCCAAATCCCATCATTCCAGTGACGTCGCCCTGAGGTCGTGATTTTTTTGTCATCCAAGTTTTATGACCGTCCCAAGCAAGCGTTGAACATATCTTGACCGTATATCATGCCGTAGGCCCAGTAACAGTCACTACATTCACTACATTCAACAAAGATCAACAAATCCTAGCCACCCCAAACAGCCAAATGGACCATTTTGGTCTATTGTGGCATTACATGTCAGAGCCCATACCCCATGTCAGCACGGTGATCCTCGGCCCCGCCCATCTCTACTGAGGACTTTTCACCGAAAAATCCGCCATGGTCGTGAAGGATCAACTCCGCGGCATCTTGCCATGGTCTCAAGATGGTGATATAATGGTGATATAATGGTGATCAATGATGCTTAATGGTGATTAATGATGGATAATATATGATATTAATTGTTATTAATTGGATTAATGAGGATTCATGTGGGTTAAACATTGTAAAGCAATGTCATAATGTCATAAACCACCCATTTGGGAAGGGTTTATACCACCGATTTACGGTGATTTGGGGGACGGTTTATTATTGTTTTAACTACATCTACGCAATTCTACACGTACGAAATCACTTGAACAACTTCCTGTTGGCCATAATTTGCAAATGACTTGTGGGGAGCTTTTCTAGGTGAAGTTGATGAAGTTGCCAGTGTCCGTCTCTGTAGGACCATCGCAGTCTTCCCATGGACTAATGGGAGGACCACGACCAATACCACCTGGATCCCATTGCCATTGGCCCATGAATGCCAGATCTAAGGTCTGCCGACTTGGAAGATATTCTAAGATACTCTAAGATACTCTATTGTGAGAATCTGTAAGATATTTCCATCCACAATGCCGGGTGGCAAACGGTGCCGGAAAAATACCTGCCTAAATTGGGATGCCTATTTTCAAATGCTTGGGATGCTTCTGAAACAGCGACCCCGAGACTAAGCGTCATTATTTATCGATGTAAGTGGTGCAAAACACCCATCAACTAGCGTTCACCTCTGATTGACAAAACTAATCAGTCGTGTAACCTCGCAACCAAGCCACGGCATAGGGTCATTACACCTCACGCACCTAGTGCTACCTCTGCACCCCAACTTATTTATGAAAAAAATCAGTTGAGTTGATAAATTGTTGCGCAGGTGAAAATCAGAATGTTTAAATATGTACAGTAGACATATATATATATATAATATATATATATGTGTGTGTGTATTGTAAATACATGTGTGCATACTGTGTATTATGTGTATTTTCATATTGTATGTATTTACTGATGGCCCAAGGAGAATTTCTCGTCCCATCTCCATCCCAATCAAAATCAGCATCGCAAACTTGTGGGCAGATTTTATCGTCATCAAATCACCAAATGTGGTGATAAAGGAGTTGGGAACAGGTACAAGACCTCTACACTTGTCCCTGCCACTTCGTCAGTCTGCTAGATTGATGGACACACTGCTTGAATCAAAACACACCACCAACCAAGCTAGCTATAGCAAACATAACACCACTTGCAACACTGATAGGCCCTAGCCCAATACAACCTAATCTTTTCTCGTGCAATGCTTGATGCAACAAATGTACCATGGAAAGAAAAGACCTTCTTGAAGAACACTACCACGCATGGCAACAAATCTCCTCTTCTGTCAGTGCTCAGTTCAACCTGTGACCTGTGGTAAATCTTATCTATTCTCACGTGGAAAAATCCATCAATGTTTCTCTATTTACAGATGATCATGTTTTTTCCCATGGCAAATTAGGATTTCCAGTTTCTTGTCCAAAATAAAAACTGGATGCGCACTATTCATTTGCCATCACTCACAAGCGCTGCAATGAGGTCTGGATTGCTGAACAAATCCATGAGCTCCTGGCCACTTCCCCTCGACCAACAATGAAAGGATATCAGTTGGATATTACCCTCCGGTAATTAAACATTGATGGGGAAATCCTTCATAAATACCGCAACCACTGTGGCATTTTGAAAGGTAAAGCATCGAACTAAATGGATAAATGTCCGCAAGCCATGTTTGATTACCAGAGGATAATGGGATATTGATATATAGCATATCTGGGATATGCAATCAACTCTGACATTTGGGTTTGTCCAAGCAAATCGCATACTGTACTCCAAAAATGCATTTCAACTGGTAAAAAAAAAACAACCGTGGGATTGCACGTTTCTCCATTTTTAGACAAAGCTGTCTACAGTATCATGCCGTTATTATTGGCAGTTCAACGAGAATTGCCCTGCGATTCAGCAACCAACAAATGTGAGAAGGGCATCAATAGTGACGACTGGCACATGAAGGCAGTCCCAACTTTTCAATTGCGGTCCACCAATAGACATGAAATGTCCCATCCTTACTGGCTGAAATGCCAAGTATGATGCATTCTTACAAATAGATAGCTGATCTTGCTTGCATGCCAACCATTTATCTATTTCACACTATTTCACTATATATATATATATTATATATATATATTATATATATATATTATATATATATGTATGTATATATATATGTATGTACGTATAAATAGATATATTTAAAATTCACGCATCTCATCCTCATCCTCTTTGCTTCTAGCCACGATTGTCTTAGTCAAAAAAAGGACCCGCATGTTACACTCGAGTTACATGATCCGACTAGAGATGTTTCAGGTTTGCACCCCAACCATACGCACACACATATACATATATAGATTGTATATTGTATACTGTTGATGCTTAATAACATGGGGATGACATGATGTAACTAGCCACAAAGCCTTACCCAAAAAAGCGCCTTGGAAGACATTTTCCCTTCGTCATCCCCTCGAGCAGTGCGTGTCCCCAAGGTGCTCCAAATGAAATCTATGTAAAATCCAAATAAAACCATGGGCAAAAGAACTAACCATTTCCAAAGTGATAAAACACGGGTTTTTGAAAAAGAATGCTCATGCAAATCCAATCACTTGTTCATCCATTTCTTAAGTGATTAGGTATGGTTAAAAACACCAAGAAACTGTGCACCTGGTGAACACCAAGATAGCCGGTACGATCTTCATCCCTGTATCCGCATTAAGTTAGCACCATGTATACATATATAACATCATAAATGCATACATAACATCATACATATATATATATACATGCATATATATATATGTATAATGGGAATTTATATCCAACAATATCTATTTACATATATATATATGTATACATTTATTATCATTATGTCCTTTTCAAATCCAAAAAATATAACCTGTTGAATCCCAAGGTTCATGAGTTTAAGATCCTCATGTCGGTTTCTTAGCCACTAAATATCGGCTTGTTGGTGCTAAATAAATAGATAGACAGATAAAATAACAAACACATAGAAAAGATAGATAGGATAGATAGGGTAGGATAGATTAGATAGATTAGATTGATTAGATTGATTAGATAGATTAGATAGACTAGATTAGATTAGATTGGATTCGATTGTTTTTTCTTTTTTGGATTATATTATATTAGATTAGATTAGACTAGATGTATGTACTGTATATAATTTTATATCATACATCCAATTCAGTTCTACCCATTGAATTCCATTGACTCCTTTTCTTGACTGTTAACATCCCATCGAAAATCATGATCTTCGAAATCCCATGAACTACCCTGACGATTGTGTTAGGTATATCCCATGAAATCCCCTTAAATCCATCGACTAACAGTGACCATTTCCCAAACGGCACGGCCTTCCGCGGGCTCCTTCTTCTCCTCTGGCTTCACCTCCTGCGGTCAGCTGGGGGGCAACCTGAACAGTGATACGCCATGGGCTACACCATGTATTTAATACATATCATATATATATATATGAATATGTGATATCAAAGTATAGTCATGTGTGAATATGTGATATCAAAGTATACCTATATACATATAATATATCATGCGCAAATAAAAAAAACACATATATCATATGTACATGTACGTGATATATTATATACTTATATGTGTGTATTCCCCACACCATCCAACACCTACATAGGGCTTTTTGGGTGTTCGGTGTCCATCACTTGGATGCTTCACCTTTTTCACATCCAAAGGTAGACCAAATTGGGGTAATTTGGACAAAGTCCAACTTGTTGCCGGAACTATTCTTGCCCCCACATTCCTCAAGGCCAACTGTGCGCACCCTTATGAAACAGCACAAGGGGCTGTCAAACACATGGAAAAAAACTGCCTTGCAAACTATTCACCAAGGTTTACAAATCTGATTCTATCACAGTTGGTCTTAAAAGTTGGTAAGTACACCAGTTGAGTCCTAGTTCACGACACCGTCGCGGTTGTGATCTCATCAAAACAACTGTTGGTGGCTGAAAAGGCCCCATCATTGATGCCACAATTTTTTAAACCATCCTTGTGGGTGATACACCCCTATGTTGTTTTTTCCAAAGCCCAGTCATGCTGCGTGTTGGTATTCAAACCTGCGTTTTTCTTGATTTAATTGCTATCTCTCTCGACTGATCTCTCATTAAACCTAGATTTAGTATTGGATCTCTTCAATTTGGGCCCCATATTGGGACATTCAACTTCAGGGGGGTTACTTGACGAATTCCACCACTTCTTTTGCCGCACCTTGGCTTTCGGTAACTCTCTCGGCGCACCCGGTGGGGCGACCTGAGTCCAGCCCATCCATGGTGGAATGATTTCAGATCCATTCAGGGGGACCGCACAGAAGCAATTCATGTACCACGTTTTTGGTGCGGCGACCTAATCCATAAATTGCCATAAGACAGAGAGTACCACCAAAAAGGATAGACAAGTAAATGATCTAGGACTTTATGGCTTAGGTAATTTAACATCCTACTAAGTAGAAATCGCCATAGATGCCATAGATAATTTGTCGCTCTTTTACTTGGATTTTATTATCTATTTTTGTCGGGATTCGAGTCCATCACCTACGCAGTTCCAATCCCATCTCGATGAAAAGGTCGAGGAACAGGGCCGCTCTCACCGATGATCCCCAGCAAGCTGCCATTGCCTAAATGGATTGCACAACGTGCTCCTGTCAAACATACCTACACACACGCACATCTATATATATATAATTATATATACATATTTGTGTATATATAACACACACACACACATATATATATATTAGAAAAGAGAAATAAATGAGTAGATAGATAGGTAGATACATGGGTACAGACAAATAGATAGATGAAGAGATGGATCGATTAGCTTCAGATTGACATGAAAACCAAGATTGAGATTTCGATTAGATAACCAGTTAGATTCTTAACAAGACAGCCGGAAGCCAGCCAAATAGTTAAAACAATCTGGGGAGGGTGTTGGTTGGAGGGCAACATACTGTGTGTAAGTCTACCCGTGATTGGGTCACCCACCAGCTTTGATGAAGTGCAAGGTCCAGTCCCTAGAACTAGGCCACCTCTGTCTACAACATCTGCAGCTCATAGAAAACACGTGCACATAAATGATTTGTATTATCACATGTGCATGTATATAAACTTAGATAAATATAAATTTCAAATCAATATGTAATATATATATATATATATATTTATGCAGCAGTATACTGAACTCATGAATTTGACTCTCCAGTTCTATCGGGAGCTTCTTTAAATCCCACCGCCTACTATGACATCCTTTGGTGCTTCCGTCCCAGACTTCAAACGGGGGCCCTTCAAAAAGTACAGGAACTGACATACACTAATTTTACCCTGCGGCAATCGGCAAGATATCCCCTCTTCTGAAAATTGTGACACTTGGGAACTTTACCATGGAGATGTTGATCAATCAAAACAAACAACATATCAGCAACAACTTAGTCATAACATTGCATAACATCATCAACTGATAGAGATGTAATATATTATAGCCCGATGTGCCACTTCTATTTTTATGGCCCCAGTGGTTCACTGGACCCACCAAACGGACCCATGCTCCAGCCACGTGGGATATGCGTATTCAACTCATACAGGGCCTTCAACACCTGCGCGTGGAACGTGCGCGCCAGGTGATGAAGAAAACGACTGGAAGGGGCCAAGAAATCGAGAGGGGTTGCGGGTTGCCTGTATTTTTCCATGGTTGTTGTTGGTTTCTAGAGGTTTTCGTTTCATGTTGAGATGTTGGGAAAGGCTTACCTGCCACCTCAGAACCCCTTGGCCCTTAACTACCAGCATCCCGGGTCATCATCACAATCCCATCCCCCTAAAGTTGAATAGCGCCACTAAGATCAGTAAGGGATCACCCAAAAGCGATAGGTCCATTGCTAAACCTGGGTTTTTGGAAATGCATCTGTTATTGAGGGAAGGAATTGTTTTCTGGTTATTCATTCCCGCTGAATATGCACATTGAAATCACTTTTGGAGCTCATGGAAAAGAATACTCTTGTATATTCTTGTATTAAAAACAGACCCCTGACATACGCTGACAATTTCTTGAATATTTCTATGGATGTTTGTGACAAACTGTGGTGCAAACTCTTTGGGTTCAGGAATACAAAGCCACTGCCCCTGGGAACCTCCGGACTTTCTCCAGCAGGTAGCAGGTACAAGGCCAAGTTTCCCACAAGCCGCGCCACGCCAGCGCGAGACCTGACTTGTGCTATCCCACTGTTTTGCATCCATCTACTGTTTGCCCTCAAGTTCCATGTGTATTTTTTCATTTCAAGATCCGCAAAAAATATCAAACACAAATAACTTATAGCATACAACGAATGATTTTTGTTAGTCTTGAACGTCCTTTCCCATCCTGTCCCAAACGTTTCACTTGAAGATCCACAGGACCATCGGACGACAACACCTATGTAAAATCCTACTTCAGGTCCTGAAAGAAGTGCCCTTGAAACCCAGATTATTCATTCGTCTGCGCATTTGGGCAAAGATTTTGCTGAAATTCTCAGACAAACAGTTAAACACCCGCCGAGTTTGGTCTTGAAATAAAGAACAAATGATGATATTAATATATTAATATACACTATATGTACACTATATATACTATAATATATATATATAATACGAGTTACGAAAACATTCTCAAACAAACCGCCCCAAGGAGCCTTCTTAAATCCCTTGGGCCATCCTGTTCCATCCAGGTTTCCATCTCTACTTTAGGTGATGGAAGTTATGGGTCAAAACCCTTGTACCCTACATACAAGTCGGTCATTTATATATATATATAATATAATATAATATAATATAATATAATATATATATATATAGTATATATAGTATATATATATAGTATATTATATATATATTATATATATATATAGTTTATATATAGTATAATATATATATAGTGTGTATATATATAGTATATATATATATATTTAGTATATATATATAGTATATATATATATTTAGTATATATATATATTATAATATATAGAATATATTATATTGTATTATATTATATTATATTATATCATATATCATACCCTAAAGTAGCTGCATAATGCTGGATGCTTCTTCCCATTTATGCTATAATAAAAAAGCATCGGAAACTTGAGACCGCCAAGGGGCTTGGTCTTGAAATACTTGATGTATTCATCAAAGGATTTCTGATCCGCCGGGCTGATGGGATCCACCGACAAGACTGAGCCAGTACTGATGCGCCGCGCCGCCTGAGGGGTGACTCTTTTTTTGGTGCTCAAAGCTGGGGAAACTCAGCAGATTTGTCTGGTTGGTGGTATACCTACCCCTCTGAAACATATGAGTTCGTCAGTTGGGGATGATGAAATTCCCAACTGAATGGAAAGTCATAAAATTCCATGGTTCCAAACCACCAACCAGTTGTTTTTTGATTTTTTTTGAGGGATGACTCACCGATTCACCATCTGTTTTCCTGGCCTCCTCAAAGGGTACTCGATGTTTGATATCCAACATGGCCGGCTGGTGCTGCGCCGCCGACCGCACTGCCACTTCGATCTCTTGCACTTTGCCTGAGAAAAATCGCGATTTTTTGAGTGAATCCCAGAGACCTTACAAAAACATGATGCAGGAGACTTATTTAAAATGCCACTCATCTATCCACCACCGAAAAATCCTTTGAAAAGGACATGCTTTTTGACTTGTCAAAATGGCAAACACGATGAAACCTTAAACATTCTAATCGTCCATCCACCCAGACCCAGAACAAAAAACCAAGACATACTGAGGCCAGGTCTTGTTGCCTGGATCTCAGTCCAACATAAATGGACTTCATTCTAACATACCCACTCCGTGCATATTCATATATATATATATATGTATACATATCATATACAGTACATAGTTATATATATATATATCACATGTATAAGATTTTTTACTGGTATATAATATGAAATATAATGACATCTACTGTATATATATATATCTATATGTCTATATTCATCTTTGCAACTGTGTGTATGAGTGCGTACAAACCCGTTCCAGTATGTATGTATTCCTATGTCTCTCCCTTGGCATGAACATACATGAACATACACAATATGTTGTAATTATTGTATCCATTGTATACACTATATTTATCTATATTTTACATACATGCATGATCACAACATATAAAAATAATCACTCTATCTAAAAAAAAATCTGGACCCAACTGGGTTTCAACTCACTATATGGATCTATATACAGTAGTGGATTCCTAAAAATCATCTAAAATTAGACAGTCGTAGACAATTTCAGTGTTGAAATCTATGGTTTTGGGGTCATCTCCAGCTATCCCGACCTCGATGCAAGGTGACCCGCGCAGGGAGCCGCTTCGCGCTGTTGCGCGCCAGGGTCAACACACCTCCAGCATCTCCGGCTGTTGAAGAATGGGATCTTTTCATATACTGGTTGCTGGTTGAGCCCTACCCCTCTGAAAAATATGAGTTCGTCAGTTGGGATGATGAAATTCCAAATATATGGAAAAATAAAATTCATGTTTCAAACCACCAACCAGTATATCTTTTATCCAGGCTTTTATATCTATCCATCAGTCATCAGTCCAGGCTGATCTGTGCCTGTCCACAGCGGCGCATCTTTGCCCTGGCAGGACGAAATGTGAGGGGAAGCCCCTGAGTCATTGCTTGCAGGAACATACTTGGGGGTTCACCCCACTCAGTAAGTAGTACGACCCCAGCCATAACTGGACCATGTAACTCACCGACTGACTGGGCGTATAAACTGACCTATTTGTCGTCTAGCCATGTGAGGATACCACTTCAAGCTGGTGCTTTTCAACGCATATCGCGAATATCAAGCACCTGTGATCATCATCCCAGGTGGGAAGTGAAACATCGTTGAAACTACCAATCGTGTATCCACATTCAATGGTGTTTGCCCCGCATTTGTTGGAAACCGACTGGCAACATCAATATTCTTCTACCAATCAAGAATTGTTTTCTTTGAAAAATGTGCTTCTTAAATAAAAAACAATGCCCATGTTTTATGAGTTCAGCCTGGCCCACCTACTCTGCCGACTCAAAGTAGGCAAATTGAGAATCCTTGTGAACCAATATATGTCAGTGATATGGAAGCTGGATGGGAGCGTCGAATTCGAAGGTGCAAACAGCTTAGGGCAAAGCGACATAGACTGCTAGCATGATTGGTGTGTCAAGGTTTTTGGTTCTTTCTTTGTCTCGAATTTCAAATTATTGGATGCCGTTGACTTATGGGGTTATCCAGTCCTTTATTTTTGATCTGTTTGGTTTTGTTTCCTCTTTTGATCACGACCTTGACACCTTGACACCTTGACACCAGTAGTGTGAGCCCCTCCTCATGCCATTTCAAATGAAATTTTCAGCCAATCGGTGATTCCCGCACCATGCGGGAATCTATCGTTGAGACTTTGACACGTCCGGCCATGCCAGGCCTCTGCTTCAGTTGCCACTTTCGCAACAGGAACCGCAGGAACTGCACCTTACAGGGAAATGGAGGCTGTAGAGCAAACATCGTACAACTATTGAGAAAACGGCATCAATCAGTACACACACACATATACATATTATATATATATTATTATTATTGCTATATATTGCTATATATATATATGGTACAGAGTCGGGTATCATATACGCTATATATGTTAATTATACATATATATATATTCCTCTCTAGATATTTGTATAAGAATCAACGTGTTTCAAACTTATTTTACAACGAATATGCCCACAGAGATACGAGCAGTGTATCTTCAGGATCCACAACCACCAAAGGGGCTCAACTCTGATCCGCTCCAAGCCTATCCCATGGCATTCTCAGATCCAGTACTTCCCCTTGACCTTCCATTGACCATCCAGCTGGGGATCCCCCATAAATTGGAACCTCAAAACCTCCATCCAAAACAGCCGCGCCTGGGCGCCCCGCCCCCTCCAAGGTTTGAAGGATGGCCCTGGCCACATTGGGATCCTTGAGCATTTCGGCCTGCTTCTCCTGTGGCAACTGATGATTTTTCAGGGCATTCCTGGGGTGTAATCAAATGATACTAAGCAAACATCGGGATATAATGGGGGACATATACATGGATAATCATGGATATATAAATACGAGGATGGATAAATAACATTATATAAATAACTATGATTCAGTATATAACCCGCACAGCAACTACCCTCCGGTAATTCAACAGTAGCTACAAAAAATGGCCCATTTATTCCCATGTACTTTTACGATTAGCATGGTTACCTGTTAAAATGGTGGTTTTCCATGGTTTTCCATCGTGTAATTGACGGTGATCCACGGTGTCCTTGCTGGACTGTACAAAATCCATGGCCAGCTGCTTCCCCGGCTTGCTGGATGTCGGTTTGATGTGAGCCTCATGCCAGGATGGCACACCAAGAAAACAAGCCCAACTGCTTGGGAGAGCAGCTGGCGTTGTTGATAGGTATAACTATGGTAACCTCATGAAACCTCCATAAGTTGGGATATAACTGATATAACATGATATAACCCTTCAACTACTATGGTTATGTGGCCCACTTCTTAGTGGAACTGCACCCCCAACTGCTTCCAGGTCACTGTTGCCGCAGCCAAGAACACAGGCTTCCCAGTGACTGGGGGCCCAGGTAAGGGCAACATGCAGCCACCACATCCAGCTGGTGCTGCACCGCAGCCCGGTGGTCCTGGGATGGGCATCCCACATGGCACCATGGCCGGAAGCATCGGCCGGATGCCCATGGGCGCTGGCAGCACCATCCCAGGCGCTGGTTTGGCAACGCCACGGGCAGCCATCTGAGAGATGAGATCCTGCATCCCGTAGCCCACACTGTTGGGTTTCAGGGAAGGCACCTGGGGGGGAGCTGGTGGGGCGGGAGGTGCTGGTGGCGCTGGGGGCGGGGGCACCAAGCCATCGAGCCGCGGTTTCTTGGGGTCGGGTTCATCAACTTTGCTTTCACCAGAGCTGATCATGGTGGTCATGGTGATTGGCCTCGGCAATGTCTTCGAACGGAGGCTCCAAGGCTCCACAGAAACAATGAGGAAATGCCCCATCCATTCATAGGGGGGTGGATCACAACACTTCGCATTTCCCCTAACCAAAATTGCGTGGCATGTCCCACTTATGGTCTAAAGTATGTAGCTGACAAGCATCTAGAGAGAGAGAGAGAGACAGAGACATAGATAATATTCCGTTCCATACTTGAGTACAGTACATTACATCTGATGCATCCAAATGTGAACAAATGGATCCTTGTTCTGGATGTTATTTCAGACCTGTAGTACCCTTGCTACTGGTAGCCGACAAATGCCATGCGGAGTCACACGACGCATCCCTTTTCTCCATACGCTTGAGCCAATGTTTGGCGGTCACAGCATGTTGTTTTAACACTGCATGCTGTACATGTTGTTTCATCTCGTTCCCTTTAACACCCTCCATGCCCGTGGTATCTTCAGACCACGGACACGAGAGAGGGAACTTTGAATTAGAATGTTTCTGCTACCTGAATTACGCCTATGTACATAAAACAAGCCATTCGGGTCCCCCTTCCCCACATACCCGAAGGGAATAATGGTTCAGGGTTCGCCTACTCTATGGCTGTCGATGCATCGGCGCTTCATCAAGCTGTACAACGCGAATTATTGCTAGCTAACATCTACTCTTCTACGTTGGCTAAGCTTGCTACTCACCCGTCGGGAGAAATGGGTCACTTCGCTACCAAAGATTTACGATGCTAACTAACGAATTCACGTGCACATTGCAGAATTTCGTGCAAATTGGGAATATCAAAAAGTCTTGAACCTAAGCGAATTAATCTACTGCCTCGCTCAGAGTCCACTCAGTTGGTCTTTTCCTGATCATCTGTTTACAAAGACGATGCACATCTTGTAGTCCAGTGATCATTTTGATGGACAGAGGTAATAAGTTCACTGCTCACGGCGGACTTTCTTCCATTGAGGTGCTGATGGAGTTTTCTCCCATCCTGCCGCACGTTTCGGAGCAGCTTTCGGCGATGAGGGTTTCGCAGGCGGTGCCTTTGATGGTTCATGGGATTTTGGCATAGCTTTAGCTTTTGGCGCGCTTGCCGATGAGGATGATGCTGAACCAGTTCCTTCAGGTTTCTGTGAAGGTTGTGCTGATGATTTGGCTTTCGCGTCTGCGGTAGCAAACTTGGAAGCGGCAGTATGTCCGACTGCTTTGAATACTTCACTTACCACTTCGTCGCCAAGAGTTGGAGCCATCTTCGTTTTCATCTCGGTCTTTCCCCTCTGCGCCTCTGCTTCAGCCAGTTGAATAGCATAAGCCATCTTGCTGACAAAGTTTTGAGGTAAAGGAATGCCACATTGTTGGGCTGCAAAGAGTAGTTCCACTTTCTGTTCCTTTTCTCTCAGACTCAGATACACTGAGAAAGCTGGGAGTTCAATGCAGTTGGGGAAGCCGTGGCTCCCGGAGCGAAAGAAGGTGTATGATTCGTGTTCTGGAAAGGTTCCTTTTAGCAGTCGTCGAAGAAAATTGCTGATGGTCACTCGCATCTCCTGCTTTCCTTGGGCATCAGCCTGCATTCGGTTCATTGGCATGAGGAAACCCAATGATTCGGGAGTGTACCCGGCGCAGACCAGAAATTCCATCATCTTTTCATAGATCTCCAAATTCTTGATGACAGGCATCATCATGTTTCTTGGTCGTCCTGAGTACATCTTCTCTCCCTCTGACCATGAGTTCCTTTTCCCTTTCTCCTGAAAGAGTTCATCCAATTCCAGCTCTGTCGGCCGCTTGAGGTTGCCATCCGGGTCTTCGCCTGTGTAGGGGCAGAAGTCGTCCAGATCCAGCCGGACTCGCTTGGTTTCCGTCATCATCACATGGTACTCCTCTGGGGTCATAGTGACTCTCTGGTTATAGTAGTGCCTGAACATTGTGATGACCTTTGACATGACAGCATTGTCATACAAGTGAGCCGCGGCCTCGGAGACATCATTGTTGATAAGTCCGTCTTCTGGCATACCCTTGCTGCCGCTCTCAAGATTCTTAGTCCATGCTGGAAGTTTGGTAGAAGGCTCATCATCAGGTTCGACGTCCATTTCATCATCGTCTTCTTCAATGATTTCGTCTTCTTCCTGTTGAGCTTCCTCCTCCTGATCCATTTCCTCATCGTCACCTTCATTGTAGTCGACCTCGTCAGGATTGAAGCCATAGTCGTTGGATTCGGATACGTTTTCTTGTGCTTGATTGACCGTATCCTTGAACAACGATTCTTCTTGTCGACGAACTTCTTCATCGAGCTCTTTCTTCGTGGCCTCATCTTCATCGTCTTCAGGAGCTTGTAGCCGATATGGACGAATCCCGCAACTTTCAAGTTCTGTCCAGCAAACTAGACACACTGCTAGCTTTGTCGGCGTCTCGTTGATACAGTGAGGACAATGGCGGCAACCTGAAGTTTGCACCCTTTTGCGTTCGACTATGTAGTCAATCAGCTTGATGCGGGCCAGGTATTGTTCTTGTCCGCCAGGCTCGATGAGGTTGTTCTTGAATTGGTTGACGATGTTCATGGCATCCATGGCAATCTCGTCAAACGGTTGGTCTTCGGCGTCGATGCACTGACTTGCAACTCTTAGGATGGATTCCTTGGTGGCTACCGTTCTTGATTTGATAGTTCCAGACCGGACTACCTGGTCGTCGCCCGACGGGACGAACAACCGGAGCCATGTCTTGTTGTACTGATCCTTGGGGTCCTGAATCCATCCTCCTTTGATTGCTGAGAATGGGATGATCCTTGGTGAAACGATCTGTCCCGAGTCAGTTAGTCGACCGCCATATTCCACCATCAAGGTCTCGGTCGGGATGAACAAGCATATGTAGTCACCCTTACGCGTATCAACGCTCTTCGTGATGGTCCATGATCTGTGATCCCATGGGACGTACGGGTTGAAGAACGTGAACATCCGATGACCTTCTCCAAGACCTCCTGGAATTAATCCTTGCCTCCAGATGCTTCGGAGGTTGGTCTTCTTGGTGATGTGGAAACAAACCGGTAATGACAAAACAGTGTTGGGTGCGATTGGATGCGAAAGCAGCGAGGACAGCAATGAAACGTCGTCTCTTGAAGATCCTTCTTTGTGCCCCGTAGGAGCACGAACCGCCACTGGATAGAGCAGTAGACCTTCATCAGGGATGTGCGTATCCGCATCGACATTGTTGTCAATGCACGTCAGGCTGCGGCGATCAATATCCTTGTTGATCCCAAATGCCAAAACTTGTTCACGCACACGACGTCCGTACCTGGCACAGTGGAACATGATCTTGAAGAGCAATGTCATGCGAAAGTTCGCCTCATTGACATTCCATGCACTCTGATCATTTGCTCTTCCCTTTGGGGCAAGGAATACGTGTGGCCAGCGTGCATAATCGTGCCTCCAGATGGACTCACATTTGAGCACTTCCTCGATGGGCACCCAGCCGGCGTCATCACAGGGCAGACTCTGCTGCTCTGATACCTTCCCCACATTGTGCCGTAGGATCCTGTTCAGTGAGGCACTCACCTTGTCCTCGTAGGTGTCGAGTCGGTTGCCAGTTTCGAAGCGGTAGTTGGCCGCATATTCTACGCCGCCAAAGTAGGAGCAATTGAAGAAATGGGCCCCTGTGGTTGGGATGATTTTCAAGAAACCATCTTGCGGCGCCTCGACACGTTTGTAGAAGGTCTTCCTGATGTTGTTGTCAGAGTAGCTTGCCATGAAGTCTGGCACTGACCAAGTGTCACCTCCTCCTCTGACGATAGCGTCTCGGATCACTTCGTTAAGGTCAATAACGTTCTGTGGTCCCAGCTTTGTAACATCACGTCCTTCAATGCAGAATTTACCATACTCATCGAGGTCACCAACTTCAGACATAGTTCTGATGCTGTCGTACCATTGGTGTTCACTAAACCTCGGTTTTGTAGGTTCATCTGTTTGCCCCGACCCCTCAGTAGCACCTGAACCGTCCTTCTTGTGCTCAGGAGGCTCCATATCGACGTCATCAGATGTGGGACTATCAGCCTCGAGCGACGCTCGGACGGCCTTTAGCACCTTTCTGACTTCATTTCTCTTCTCATGTTCACATTCAAGATGGCCATGTTTGGTGCTACCACAATACAAGCACACATTGACATCCTCAGAGACAGTGAAGAGTTTTCCCAACGCATCCAAAAGTTGTTGTTTCCCGGAAATCTCTGAGTCCCTGACCACATCAGTGGGATCGTTTGCTGGCTCATCAGCTTCCTCCTCCCCAGGGTGAGCCGAAGACTCGTCACCTGGCTTGGCATCGGCATCAGCGCCCATGCTGGCGTCATCCCCTGTGATGTTGTTCTTCCTGCGATAATGAGAGAATACCTGATCCTTCTCCCATTCTGTGAGGCAGCTGAAATTGGCCAGCGATTCATATCCGGGGATTGCGTGGATGATCTTCATGACCCTCTCGGCTTCTGCGGTTTGCAGTGTGCAGTCGAAGGATCCCCGTCTCTTGTCATTGATGGTGCTTGAGGTTCTTGATGTCGATGTGAACTGAGCCAATGCCTTTTCCAATCCATTGAGATACTCAGCTGGATCAACACTGGCATTGAAAACATCAACAACTCCTTTGGCCATATTGGCCACATCCAAGACACCAAGCCAGAATTCGATGATATCTCCAGTTTTCTCGGCAGATGCACGGGAGAATCCAAAGATCTCGTTCCTCTCCTTCACCTCGGGAACGGCGACCTTCTCGAAGAAGTCTTTGTATGCGACATTTCCGCAATCCTTTGTGACTCTGTAGATCAATAGCCACTTCTTCGCGACTTCATCAAAAACTCTTTCGCGATAGATGCTGAATTGCTTGCCGCGTCCGTTCCGGAAAATTTCCAGAGCTTGCCTCTTCGAAATTCTGACTCCTCCCATGTGAGATAGAGATTTCATCAAATGCTCCCCATACGCCAACGATGCATTTGAAATCAACGAAGACGCAGTAA